CAACAACAACAAAATTTTAAGTCAGTCACTGCCAAGCTCCAACAGTATTTGATACTCAGAAATACCTGTCTTAAAATGAACCAGTACACTGGGAAGAGGCAAATGTATGTATGTATGTATGTATGTATGTATGTATGTATGTATGTATGTATGTTACTCAGATATTTGAGCTATCCATACCCTAAAGTGGAACAGAAAGGGACAGAAATCTCTTCTGTTCTTTCAAGTTTCTTTGCCAAACACAAAAGAGAAAAAAAAAATCTGTCATTAAGTCCTGGAGATACCAAAAGTCTGCTACTTCTGTGTGACAAGGAAGACCTCATGAAGCAACAGGCGGGAAACGTGGCCATGTAAACAACCAGGGAATATGGGCTACAAAGCTTAGAATCACACACAGCAACAACTGAGTGAATTAAGAGTGGCTCTGCCCTACTAAGACAAAGTGAAAGAGGGAGGCAAAGAAGATAAATCAAGTGCCACAAGTAGCTGTCCCACAAGGGGGGAAGAGTCAGGTGGCAGAACTCTCCTCACCTAACAGGTTCACTCGTCTTTCTAGGGCACATCGAGTAAAGAGCCCTCAGTATAGGAGCCTCCCATCTCCAAGTAAGAAAACAAAGCTTATGAAGCCTCACTTCAGCTGGGCGGTGGTGCCACAAGCCTTGAATCCCAGCAATAGGGATCCCTGTGAGTTCAAGGCCAGCCTGGTCTACAAAGAGAGCTCCAAGACTATTACACAGTGAAATCCTGTCTTGAAAAAAAACAAAATAAAACAAAAAATAACATCAACAACAACAACAAAGGGGGGCAGTTTTAAGTATGAGAACCATTTTTATCACTTTTTTTGAGCTTGGGTACTAAACCTAGGCTTTGCACATGCTCGGCAAATGATCAAACCTTAAGCTACCCTTGGCTCCCAATACCTTATTTCTTAATTTTTTCACACACATAAATTTATTCTTTGACAATTTCATAGGAATATATAATATATTCTGATTATTTTTATTCCCCAACCCTCTTTTTTTTATATTTTATTTTATTAGTTCAAATTAGGAACAAGCTTGCTTCAGATGTCAATCCCTTCTCCCTCTCCCCCCCTCCCCTGCAACACCTGCCCCTAGCCATCCCCTCTCCACTCCCCAGGCGGGGTAAGGCCCTCAAAAGGGGCTCCCCAAAGTCTACCACATCATCCTGGGCCAGGCCTAGGCCCTTCCCCATGGAATATCACTCCTTTTAATAACAATAAATTCAAACAAAGATGAAAATGCTGGCTATTGCAGAGAAACAGGTGAGGAAGATATATATGTATGTAAGTATGTATATATGTATGTACATCAATATCCCATTCCCAAGTGGTAAGTATCTTAATTCCAAAGACAAACTTAACACTTCATACTTTTAAATCCAAGCCCTAAAACAGTCAAGAAGGAACTTAAAAAAATGACTACAGGAAATAAGTGTATTTGTTATGTTTTAGGATAAAAGAAACAGTATTAAAGTAGCAGCCACTGAATTGGCTGAATTGGCTCTACCTGTCCAATGAGAGGCCAGTAAAACTTGTGCTGATAACAGTCAGCCAATGATGGTAGCTACAATTTAAAACATGCACTTCTTTTAAAATAACATTTTATTAATTATTTAAGAATTTAACACAATGTATTTTGATCATACTCACTCTCCCCAATTTATCCCAGACTCATCCTTACCCCCCTACCCACCCTACTTTGCATTCTTTTTTTTCTTTTAAATCAGGTCCAATTTGTGTTGCCTAAACACTCTCAGGTATGAGGCTTGCATTGGAGCATGGTCAACCTACCAGGTCACACCCTCAAAGAAACCAACTGCTATCAATACCTGTGTTAGTATTATGTATAGATTTTTTTTTTTTTAAAGATCCTGCAGTCCTACAAAGTACATGAAAACATACTGTACTTGACTAGGAAAGGGTTCAAGAAGTGACATGTCAAACCTCAGTCAAATGGGCGTGTTCATCCTGGTTTAAACATTCTCCTCCTGATACACTGCATAGCTCCTTCTCACTCTGTAATAAAGACTTTACAGACTGGAACACATCTTCACTGAAGCTCTGAGGAATAAATAAATAAGACAATTTAATTCCAAGACATGGGAGAGAGCTTGCAGATACTGAGTTTTTCATAGTTACATAGTTACTCATTCTCCAATTAATTCATTTGTCACTTCTTCATATTATTTGCTGGGCTCAGTTCAGCTAAGAAAAAGTCAAGCTATCCAAAGACCACACAGGCCTCATGCTCCATATTTATTTATACTTACCGTACACTAAAATGAACAAATTGTATATCTTATTTCCAAGTCACTAGCAGAACATACACAATTCATGTAATGAGTGAGATGATATAGGAGCCAGAAAATGACACATTAGCATCAATGATTCTTTCCTTAAGAGACAAAGAAAAACAGACAGTAGCTAAAAATAAGATTTTCCAGCAGTCTTAAGACAGCTGTATGATGAAAATAAGGGAAAGAGTCCATGTCTGGGAAAGGAAGTTGTCACAAATGCAAAGAACCTGAGGAAGGAAGAGGACACCGAGGAAATGATGAACACTGCAGTCAGATGGAAAGGCAACACTCCCTTCCCTCTGCCTCCATTACCTCTGCTGGAATGTAATCTGCTCTTCAAGTCTATGGGAATGCCTTACTCTGCAATCCTGTCCTACAGAAACCCTATCCATGCCAAGTCTGAAAAAGATCGCCCCCATCCCTTAGTCTAATTTTCTCCTATGCTATTTGCAGATTAAGGTTAGTTGATGTATGTCATATTATGATATAATATTCATGTTTATCTTTTCTACCCATTGTACCAAATCATGGAAACCATATTCCATTCATTTTATCCCCTCACATTTTACATGAAGTCAACAAACAGTTGCTAACTATACAAAATTTGTTCCACACAAATCTATAATCTAATAGATAATACTATTGAAGAATTTGAGAAAAAAGTATGTTATGTTAAATTTCAATCTCACCTAACAATATGAAACCATATATATATATATATACACATACATATACTACCTTTTCCACTGAAGGGACTTGGAAGCAGTGACCCCCAGCCTAAGAAGCAATGAGCAGATCCCATATCCAGATTTTGGTTTCTAAATACCAATCATCAATTAAAATAACCAGAGCGCCTTGAAAAAATGCCTGGTTCCAGATCCTAGACAGAGAACATACAAAAGAGACTATACCATCTAACTGTGCCAGACTACAGGGAAGTGCTCACAGACTAATTGGGCAATTTCAAAAGTACACAGAAGTCAGTGTATTAGCCAGGAATCCCCACTCGCTAATTCTGAAATATTCAGGGCATCAAAAAAGAACAGAAACGGTAATGCATCATAACTACTGCATTCAGTTATTCAGCTTTCTTCTACAATTACAGGTTGACAAATATGGACAAACTGATTCCATTAGAAAATCCTTTTTGTAACTCTCAACATAATTATTGATTTGGAAAGAATTATCAATGTATCCTAAACCTACTGGGTTAAAAACTTCTGGGAAACAGGCTACTCACATTCTCAAACTATAGCCACGTAGTTTCCTTGCTAAGCATTTAATCAAAGTTATTCTGCATTTATACTGGAGACATCAGATGTCTACAATCCTAGCCACTTCCTCAAAAACATCAACGATATGCTTCTCCTGATCTGACAGAGAGCAATGAAAAAAAAAAAAAAAAAAAAAAAAAAAAAAAAAAAAAAAAAACAAAGCCTTTGATATACTCCTGATAAACAGAATTACACAGAAAACCAACTTGGGATGTTCTATTGAACAACTAGCTCAGATGTTTCCAAAGATGTGGTATCATGAGAAAAAATCTAGACCACTGGAATGGTCTAGAATGGTGGTAACTGAAATATTCAAATGCAGTATATGAAAAACCTTGAGTAGACTCTAGGTAAGAAACAAGAAAAAGTTCTGAGGATATTTGAGACAACTGGGAGAATTTATACAGACAAATGGTTTTCTTAGGAGTGAGTGGTAATCACACTAACATATAAAACAAGGTCCAAAGGGCATTTTCCACACGATTATAAAGAGAAATATGAGGTGGATCTAGCAAGATGCTAACAGAAGGTGAATCCAAGCAGAAAATATATGAGTAACTTATTGTTTTGAGTTTTCTTTCCAACTATTCAATAGACTTCAAAACAGCCAAAATTTATAGTTTTGTTTTCATTAATGAATGGAGGTTTTCACACTAACTTGTGAACAAAAAAAAAAGGGAAAAATATAAATGAGCCTGAACTATCAATATAAACTCATGACATTCTAAGAGCAAATGGCATTTCTAGGCAGAAGTCACTACAAAGAAAATACTCGGTAAAGTACAGAGTTTATAAAAAAAAAAAACTGTGAGTCCAGAGGAATAAAAATAAATAATAAACAAGTGAAGTAAATAATATACTTGCCACCATAGGAAATGACTATCATACAAGTCATAAAGCTGACAACTGGTAATGAAAAAGCCTTTACCCATCCTCATTCACCCTTGCATTATCTTCTCCCCATATAAGCATTATCAAAAGAGAGAAGAGTTATCAAAAAAGAATAGAAAAGCAAGGAAAACACCTTAGTGAACGCAAAGATGGTCTTCATGGGCAAAGTCAACAGTGTCATGAAAAGAGGCTAAAGTGTAGGAACTAAGTAACAGACAACATCCTCTAGTCCCCTTTCTTCTCTTTTCCTCTAGTGATGACCCAAAGTTGTAGCAAAGACAAAAATCAAAACCGGGATACAGACTAACTAAACTGTTTTAAGAGTAGGAGGTTCTCCCTCAGACAAGAAATAATGACTACATCTGTTAGTACAGGTTTGAAATCCTGGCTACTTGAGAGGATAAAGCAGGAGCAGTGGCAAGCTCAAGGCCTATCAGGCACATAAAGCTACTTCAAAGCCAGCCTAGCTAATGTACTGAGACCTTATATCAAAATAAAAGGCTAAAGGGCAGGAAGAGGATATGAAGGGAGGCAGCGAGGAATACCACTCAGTGCTAGAGCAACTTACCTAGCAAGTATAAATCCTTGGGCTCAATCCACAACCCCATACACACAAGAAAGGCAATTTCTCATTTGCTCACAAATTATTCAACATCTAGCATAGTCCTGACATACAATAAGCACTCAAGTTCATTATGCTGAATAAATGAGTGGTTAATATTTCCTATATACCTTTAAGATAGTACTAAAAGTATGTAAGATAGTTAACTAAAATAAAAGAAGAAAGAAAGAAAAGAAAAAGAGGAAAAGACCAGATGGAAAATGTCTGTGAAGAGATGAGGAGGAGGCAATGTGCACTGAGAAGACTTCAGAGACTAACATCATTACAATCATGACTTTATGTCACTACTTTCATAGACTTTGCAGTATTTCAATGTTATAAGTTAAATACTACGATTCGTTTAAAAACTATATAAGAACCCACATATTGTTTTGAATTTCCACTGAAGGAACCTAATACTATGGACTTACTTTTCGGACAGATGCTTTATTCTTTATGTGACTGTTCCTGAAAGGCTGGAAAGCCGCCATAACTGTATTACTGCAGTATGTAATTGCTGAAGAGAAAATTCACAGAACACCTAAAGGAGACATATTAAAAAGAAAACAACTTATTTACTCATCTTTGTGATTCAAGCAAGCATTTTATACTAAGTAATTTCTCAAAATGTATTTAGCAACCATATATATGCTGGGGGGGGTAAAAAAAGGTGAATATGAGCACCTCAGTAAGATATAAAAGTATTACAAAATCCTTTTAAACTAACAATCATAGTTTGCTATTATGTTCAATTGCACTGTCCTTCTTAACTGTATAATCTCAACAAAGATTTTTGGGAAAACATTTATAAACTTGGACTGTCACAAAAGGAATCCATTTCCATAGCTCAGAGTCACTCATCTATCCCTGCAGCAACACTAAATGCTCAGGCATTATTACCCCCTCAACAGAAGGCTTTAAAACTACACAAATGAGAATGTAAAATTTGTACATGTACTATAAAATTGCAGATGAACAAAAGCAAAATTCTAACCTGGAAGTTTCAGAGTGGCCTAATGACTAGAGTTCAGAAAAGGAGTAGTAGGATTACACACCTTACACACAAAGCTCTCAGACTCAACTTTTTAATGATGTTTTCATAAAAACTTTTGGGGACTTCAACCAACTAAGAACATTAAGCAGCCAGTCAACTGCTATATTTATATAGAATGAGAAAACAATGGTCCTATTGGACCCAAAGCCTCATGGGAACTGTTGGATTATAGTAAATGGTAGAAGCTGAGAACTGAATTCTAAATAACAAAAACAAAAATTTAAAACAATAAATATTTAAGAAATCTTACTTAAGTTTCAGTATCTTCAGTTAATCAAGCTGGTCTCTTCAAGGCATGCCTACTTGAGGTTTCTAAGTCATTCACTTCAGCACAACTTCATTCTAGTCTCTTCCTCAGATTTTTAAAAAGACTAAATTTTAGGAAAGTTCTAACTTCATACTCTATTTCTATACTTTTACTACAGAAATAAAACTGAGGTGTGAGTGCATGTCACACACCATCACTCTTAGTCACTTCTATTGCTGTGAAGAGACACCATGACCACAGCAACTCTTATAAAACAAAGCATTTAATTGAGTGCCTGCTTACAGTTTCAGAGACTTAATCCACCATCATCATGGCAGGGAGCACAGAGATATGCTGTTTTGTATTTAGCTTAGGTCAAACACCTACCAAAAGAATAACTGTGCAATGTAAAAGAGAATCAGTAGAGAATGAATTGGCACTCTTCTGAAGAAAACAAACAAACTTTGGAAATGGAAAGACAGGTGGAGGACGAAGAAAAACAGCAAGGGGGGATTACTCTAGTTAACAACTGCACAAGAGCAAACATACAACATCTTCCCATAAAATAATGTCATAACAAGCTTCACACTAAACACCTGCTTCAATTCTGGATGAATGTAACACACTTAATATTCTGGATGAATAAAGAATCCTAAGCAAGGAATCACAGTGTAGTAAAGAAATAAGAGGAAACTTAATTGAAAAGATAGAGAGTAATGAGAGACAAGCCAAGCAGAAAGCAAACAGCTGGAAGTAGAGTGGCTAGAGTTCAGACAAGAAATAGGAAATAAAAACATCAACAATAAAGTAAATCTCTTGAGGAACAGCACAAAAGCAATGTGCATCAAGAAAAACAGATTTAACACAAATAACCATACATACATATCTAGAAGAAAAAAATCACAAAATTCATAAAGACATAAAAACAATCAGAGAAACAACTATAAAGAACACAGAACAGAGATCCAGGGTGCTGAACAAATATACACACCTCTGATCCTGCAACTTCACGTCTCAAAACCTCCCTGCATATATTTGTGGTGATATTTTGTTTATGACCTAACAAATAAAGCTTGCCTGAAGATCAGAGTGCAAAGCTAGTCATACTAGTTAGCCAAAGACCAGGCAGTGGTGGCACACACCTTTAATCCCAGCACTCTGAAGTCAGAGGCAGACAGATCTCTTTTAATCGAAGGCCACCCTGTGTTACATGAGATTGATCCAGTCTAAAAGAGAAACAGAGCTCACATAAAGGTGATCTCAGCACTTGGTATCTTGTGCCTTTAATCCCAGTACTAGAGAGGAATATAAGGCGGGAGGAGATGGGAACAAATGGTAGTCTGAGGTTTGGTGGAGACAGTGCAGTCTGGAGATGCAGTCCGAGGACGGGATTGCCCTTTCACTCTGAGTACTGTAGAGGTGAGAACTCTCTAGTGGCTGCTTTGCTTCTCTGATCTTCAGCTTTAACCCCAATATCTGACTACGGGTTTTATTATTAGACAACTAGAATTCATGCTACATACATGCTTCCACAAAATTCACAAAAATAGTGCAAGACTAGTTAGTAAACCAAAAACAAAAACTAAAAATAATCCACAAGTTTCCTGATTTAAATAAATTCACTTATTACCTAGTGTGGGAAATGATGAGTTTGAATAATCACACTTGAGTGAAGAAGCAGATTTGCAGAATGTTGCAAATGACTTGAGATTAAAAGGCAGTTGCACAAGCCTAAGAAAGGAAACATCTTGAAAACAGTGCCAGAAACTGATAACAAGGATTTTTTTAATGTTACAAAATGCCATCTATCTGATTTTATAATAAATTATCAAATAAAATAAGGCCAGTTCCAGCATGTATGCATTATCACATTCAGCGTAAAATCTGTAACTGTGTGTATAAATAAATGTAAATACACATACATATAATAGGTTACAGATAGTGGGTTTATCATGGATAATTACCTTGTGTTTTTCTAGATGCACATGAATTATTTAATCATAAAAAAACCTCACAACTTATCAAGTTTTCCTACCTCATCTCTAGCTTGAGAACTGTTCAACTGCACACCATCTGTAACTTGACCTTTTTTATAATCAAAGGACTCAGGCATAAAACACCTTCCCAACAGTAATTGCACCCCATGACTCACCCTCTACACTAGCTCTCAAATCACCACTTAGAAATCAGATTATTTCAAAAGCCACACACTTGGAAGATCCAGCTTTACTAATACTATTTTTTTTTCCTTAATCCTTGTCCTCACTGGTTTTCTTCCTTTTTAGTTTTCCAAAGATACTTTACCTGTGGTTTGAACTACACAATGAAGTTCCTAATTTAGAGTTTCAGTTCAGTTCCTATCCTTTGGTTTCAATTTCTCTTATTTAAATGCACTACTAGACATTTACAATTAGGCATCTCTGCCAGGGTTTGGATATGGCCTGCCCCCAGAGACTCGTGTCCTAGAGATCTGGTCATCAGTATGACAGAGATATTAGGACATTAAAGAGTTGTGGCTCTGGGGATTTCTAGGCCCTGGAGGCACAGCCTTCACAAATAAATTAATGTTGCTCCATGGCAGTCTGGCTCCCATGGGACTAGATTAAGCACCCCTGAGCTGTTGTAAAGCATCTCCTTCCAGCTGTCTGGCTTCCAGTCCCACCTTGCAACACCTTCCTATAGCACAAACTTGGGCCATGGTATCATCTACAGCCATGAGGTGGAGGCTGAAGAGGTGGAGCTGCGCAATCTGGGACTTTGAGCCTCTAAATCTGTGAGCTAAATAAATCTATTCTCTCTAGAAAATAGCTCACCTCAAGTATTTTGTTACAGCAACACAAAACAGACTAAACCAAGTATTGTTACTGTAAAAATAAGTATGGTTAAACTGGATGTGGCAGCACATGCCTTTAATCTCAGCACTCTAACTTAGAGGCAGGTGCATCTTTGACTTCATGGCCATGCTGGTCTACAGAGGGAATTCTAAGACAGCCAGGACTACACAGAAAAATCCTATCTTCAAAAAAAAGAGAGAGAGATGGACTAAGGCTTCTCTAAACACTCTCCTTTCTATTTCATTAAAAGCCAACAAATCAACATCATGCTCTAAGGCGACTCACTCAGCTAACCTGCACTCACTCTTCATGTATCTTCAAATATCTTTCTAAGGAAAGCTTGACTCATCTCTTGTCTTTCCCTGCTCCTTTCCCAATATTCAACATCTCCTTTATGCTTTCCAAGTGGTTTGTCCTTCCATTTTCAGGTGCCACTGTTAACATACATTTGTGAACTCAGACTTGTATTTGAACATGGCAGGATCCAAACACTTGCTAAATAAAAGGTAATCTAATGATTGTACACACTTGTAATCTTAGGTTCAGGGCTGAGGCAAGACTAAGAGGTCAAGGCTGGTCTAGGCAAGACTTCCAAATAAAAGCAAATAAAATACAGTAAATCTCATTTGAGATACGTACTAAATGCTCCAAATATATTTTAACAAACAACCAAATGGCCAAGTGTTAAAAATTAACTTTCCATTGAACTACAACAAAACAGTACAACGTTCATACGAAACATTGATTTTCAAACAGCAGACAACAGCAATGCAAGGGTGTCACTGATACCTCAGAGAGTAAACATTGCCTGCCAGCTACTTCCAGGTCACAACACAATACAGCAAAGCCAGTCTAATCTGGCAGTCACAGTGAGTTTTGGAGACAGAGCTCATTCATATTTAAAGGAAGAATGCAATGACAGTAAGAGCTGCAGAGGTCTGAGGGGGGGTTTCCTATAACTTTTAGCTAAATACAAACTGAGCACCTGAGGTTGGGGAATTGACCAGAGAGCAGTGTAGTAGTATTTAAGACTGAACAGGATTTGCAATAGTTCACATTCTCACTAAGCAGAGTAGGTAGGGAAAAGCAAAAAGTCCTATTGTGTGACCCATCAGGCAACAGATAGGAAACAGATAGTTCCCACCTAGGGAATCCAAGCATCATCACTAACAAAACTTCAGTGTGAGCCTTGCAACCCCATGGAGTTCAAATAATCTAACTGTGTACCCCAGCTACAGCCAGCTCTCTGGAAAGGTGCACATCAAGCAGACAATAATGGAAAACTCAACGCTGGGAGACAGTAAAAGATGATGACCATGCAAAGGAGGAGAGTCTGACCCGAACTGGGAGAAAAAATAAGTCCCCTTTTAATATACATAAACACATTCAATCAGTTCTATTCCTCTATAGAATCCTGACTAAGGCACTGTACTCCATACATTCAAGGGTGAAGAAAATATGATCATGATAAAGGAAGAAACACAAGATACCAAAGACAAAAACAGAACTTCAAAGAATGCAAGGGGAACCCTGCAGGGGGTAGGATAAGCAGATAGGAGGGGGTAAGGAGATGGGAGAGAGAAGAGGTGAAGAGTCAACCAAAACCAAGGATTATGAAAAGCCATACACATTCCTAATACTTGGTGGGCTAACTTTAAAAAAAAAAAAAAAAAAAAACAACAAAACAAAAAAAAGAATGAAGCCTGCACAGGTTATTAAAAGTCCAGTGACAGAGTGGGATACCTCCTTAATGGGCTGTTATTCAGGGAGGTCCCTGAGGCCTCCAAAACAATACAGGCAATTGCAATGCTGTGGCTGTCCACCAGAACTAGATAGTAGAACCTGTTACTGAGACACCACATGGTCTGATCACAGGAATTGATGTGGAAGCTTCCTCCCTGCTGGGTAGCCCTCATAGTGCTAGAAAGTACTATGCAGGTTGCTGGGGCTTGTCATCAACAGGCTTACTCATTTTACTATATTACTCATCTGCCAGGCAAGAAGTGTCCACTGATGCAATAGAGGCAAATTATGGGAACAATCAATGGCTTTCTAATTAGAACAAGAGGGAGTTCACATCTGGTACTTTAAACAGGTAAAAGGCCCCCATGGCTGTGAGGTCACAGGTCCTAGTGTGCTAACCACAGCTGTAGCTTTACTGAATGATGTGCCCACCAAATTATCTTCTAAATTACTATGTCTAGCTCCATGGATCAAGGCTGCTGTCAACTTTGATTAGACCAGTTCTTTTTGCAATGGGCGGTGGTATATACAGACTAAAACACAGCCAGTGATGAGAATAACTGGCTAGTGAATGCTCAGGAGACCTATATTATCCCTCTAATTCAGGAAACATCAACAGAGGGGATGGGGTAGAATGCTGTGTTCCCTACATGACTTGGCATGGCACTCCTGATCTCGAAGCAGCTGTAATCACCTATACAAGACCCATACAAGACTGCGCCCATTAGCATCTGTCTGGATATATAGACAGTTAAAAGTAGCTATGAGAGTAAGTGTTGTAATTTTAAAAAGCAGTGCATGAGAAAGACGCTATGCAACAGAGCTCATGTGGAGGTTTTTTTGTTTTTTGTTTTTTGTTTTTTTAATTAGGAGAAAGTGCAGTGCATAGGTGGTGCTCTTAGTGGCTGCAGCTGAGGGCATATCCTGTCAGAACCCCAAGGGCAGGCCAGTACAGATGCTTGAATATTAAACACTTAATGGTTGCTGAGAGAGTGAGAGAGACTCCCTCTGGTGATGTAGCCACTAGTGAGGTGCTATGCTCCTGGAAATAACCCCTCACCTATATTATTTAAGCAACCCTACTTAGATTCACTAGGTCACCAAAAAAAAAAAAAAATCAAAGTAGAAAGAGACTAGTTGGAAAGTGGAAGGCAGTGTCGCCAGAAATAGGAGGAGGACATAATAAGGTAACGGGGTGAATATGATTAATTCAGTATATGCATGCACTTGGAAGGCAGAGGCAGGTGGATCTCTCTGAGTTTGAGGTCAGCCAGGTCTACAGAGCGAGTTCCAGGACAGCCTCCAAAGCAATACAGAGAAACCCTGTCTCGAAAAACCAAAAAACATTAAAAATAAGGGAAGTGCTAAAATGAAAAACATGCTAGATAGAGATAACATCAGATTGAATACTGAAGAGAAATTCTAGGTAATATAATACAAACTATCAAGGCAAAACATAGGGATTAAAAAACAGGACTCCCACAGCATCAGAACTTAATAAGCATTACATAATATATATATGTATGTATATATGTATATGTATATATATACATATATATGTACCTGATGTATACATGGATATTACATTAGCCCAAATACTAGCCCGACCTAATTATTTATATATACATACATGTATGTACATATGGACACAGAGTCCCAAGTCAGTTGGGGACAGAACCAAAAAAAGGAAGGCAAATGGTCCAGAATGCACCAAATCTAATGAAAACAGTGACAGACCCAAGAAAATCCAATAAATATCAACAAGAAAAACATTTTTTAAAACCACCAAAATGAAACACGACCAAATTGTTAGAAACAAGAGAAAATCCTGCCAATCAGGAAAGGGTGAGCCCCTAATGCAGAGAGTGAGGAAGACAGCAGACCAGACACCTCGGCAGCCTGAAGCCAGCAATAATCATCAACACTAACAACTCAAAGAGGGAAAAGTGGTAACAGCCACAAATGATAAAAAGAAAAAGCTTTCAAAAATTAAAACAAATTTCTTCTCACTAATCAGAGCTGTGAGGATTCACCAGCTGATCATATGAGAATAACTATGAAAAAAATTCTTCAGACAAACAAAAACAATACCAGATAGAACCTAGATCTACCAAAGTAACCATGAAAGCCTCAAACAGCAACACAACGCCAACATAAGAATAT